TAGCTCTAGGCTGCAGCAGGTGGCATTGCTAGGCAGCAGTACGCCAAAGGAGTGTTGGTGGCTAGCGCATGGAGAGCTCCGTAACTGCAAACATACCCCCCCAGCTTGAAATGAAGCGAATGTGTAAGTGATTAAGCAGAATAAAAGCTGAACAAAAGATAGACAGATTTGTAAGCAATTTGTATAGTAAATAGTTAAAGAGATGTAGGGAGGTTGGTAGAGATGTCTTCTAAACCTAATTGTTGTACAAACTCTTTATGTTTTTGTCTTGGTAGCAACTTGGTGAGGCCGTCCGCAGGCATCTGAGCGGTAGGTTTCCAGTTGACATGTAGTCTACCAGCAGAGATCTCTTGTCGTAACCAGCTCTGGTGTATGTCGACATGCTTGAGCTTAGTTTGGAGCTTTGATAGATCTTTTGTGACAATTCTAATCGTCTGCTGATTGTCGCACTAGATAGCAGGGGTATCGTCAATTAGGAGCTGAAGTCGTGTGAAGAAAAGCTTCCACCACTCTATGTCGGTACCAGCTTGCGAGAGAGCTAGGAGCTCTGCCTCCGTAGTTGATTTGGTGACGGTTTGTTGCAAGGTAGCTTTCTAGTCTACCGCTAGACTAAAGAGCTTGAATAGATGTCTATGAGAGCTTTGACGAGTCGCTGGATCGTCCGCGAATGCAGCGTCTGATGCACCATAGAACTGGGGCTCTGCATGGTTAAGCTTATAGAATGCGCTGTTTTGAGAGTTTCTTGATGTTCCTATTGCGAGATGTTTTGTACGGAGTAGGTAGCGCCAGCAATGCAGGGCTGCATCTAGGTGCTTTTGACCAGGATTGGTGAGGTGGCGTGCTAGTATTGAGTGCGCATGCGCGATGTCCGGTCGTGTGAATGATGCTATGTAGGCGAGTGAGCCTACTAGCTGTTGATAGAGCTTGGTCCTTCTATTGTTGGTGGTCTCAGTAGAGAGCTCTAGGGTTTCGCGCAGAGGTATGTCAGGTAGTTGTTTCCTGCTCTGCTCTAGATTGAATTTGGTAGCGATCTTGTTAATGAAGGAGTCTTGGACTAGGTAGATGGATTTAGCAGTCTTCACAACTCGAATGCCTAGGAACCATTTCAGTTCGCCGAGCTTCCTAATGTCGTACGCATGCTGAAGATTATGTTCGAACTGCTCAGCAGCCTCAGCATTGATAGGGTGGTATAGTAGTATAATGTCATCAACGTATACTAGTACGATGAGCTTGTTGTTGACAAATAGGCAGGGAGCTTTGGGGATCTTGTGAAGTCCTAGCTGATTGAGCGTTGTTTTGAGCTCTAGGTACCAGAGGCGAGATGATTCTTTGAGTCCGTACAGAGCTCGCAGTATCTCTAGGTACTCTCCGTATTCTGCTTGAAAACCTTCAGGTGTGCGGCAGAACAGTCGTCTAGGGAGTTTGGCATTGAGGAAGGCATTGGTGACATCATATTGTCGAGAGGTCAACCCAAATGCGGCCATGAGAGCTATTAGAGCTCTGAAGATGCGAGCAGCTGCGGTGGCGGCATAGGTATCGCCCCATTGTTCTTGGAGATCTCCTCGTACGCAGATTCTAGCCTTAAATTTGGATAGGTAGCCGTCTTCGTCAAATTTGTATGCGTATACCCATCGAAGTGGTAAGATCTCGGTAGAGGCGGCTTTTATCGTGGATTTGCTGGCGCGCTTGAAGCAGCTCTTGGACCAGCAGCTGTCCATTTCTGTGCGCATGGCTGCTTGAAATTCAGCCATGTGTGGGTGTTTTCTCAAATCACGGTAGTGCTCTGGATGTGGAGGTAGCTGATCGCGATGAGGGTGCACCTTAACAATGGAGCTAGCGAAGGTTGCAAAGTAGGTGCTGTACTGCTTTGAGCGCGTAGTGCGGCTGTCGCTGATAATGTTTGATTTGTTGATGTCAAGAGATCGTGCCTTTGGTGCATTATTTTGGTCAGGATCCGGTATATATCGCGGATCGTGTACAGAGGTAATGGGTGGTTCATGCATAGAGGTAGCATGGTCATCGTTTGATCCAGTATTGGATGCTTCCATTGTTTCGCGTACGAGCTGCTGAGTGCTTT